TAATGTGACCTTGAACCACAGAGTTCCCACTTTCACCTCATACTGAAACTAACTGGTTTAGATAAAGTAGTTTTGTGTAATAATATTTGTATTTACTGTTTTTTGTCTCCGTCTCTCAGGAGTACATCATTAAAGTTCAGAGGGGCGTGTCTTCAGACAACACCTGGCAGGTAAATTCACCACCCACAGCCTGAAGCTTCAGGCGGCGGGGGTCTTTGGCTGTTTGACGTTGACAGGTGTGTTGTTGCAGGTGATCCGACGCTACAGTGACTTCGACATCCTCAACAACAGCCTGATGGTGAGTTTATTATCCTCACACTACAATCACACAATCAACCTTTAAAAGATAAATAAATAAAGACTTTAAGTGATTTTTTTTTTCATGTTTGTTTTTGTAGCCAGAGTATAAAACACACATCGTAGTTTTACTCTGAACCCGAAATAAAGGTTGGATTGTTGAAGAAATATATAACCTTTATTTTAACAGGTAAGTTAGTTCAGAACCAATTCTCATTTACAAAGATGACCTGGTGAAGAGGCAGCAGCACAACACAAAATGTCAGAAAGATGTTAAAACAAAGACACAACACACACAGCATAGAGTACAATTAGACCAGGGGTGGGCAAATGTTTTTCTCCAGGGGCCACATGAGAAACTTGAGCTATGCTGGAGGGTCGAAATCAACAAAATACTGTATTTAATTCTATTTAATAGTATTTTTTTTCACCCACTGTCAAGAACAGTAAATTATATATTTTCATTAGCTGCTACTGCTAATTATAAGACAAAAATGTGCTGTAAATATTTATATAAAAATGTAGAATTGTGATGTAAGTTTTACAACAGTAAAAACCAAAAACAGTCAATGTTGTTTGGTTTTATTTTTAGCATGTCAGTCTTTTGCAATTTGGTATCAAACTGATACAAAACGCAATAAGTGCTTTTAATGCTTTCCATGTTTTACTTGTTCAATGAGAAAAATCTTGGGCTTTAACAACTGCATCGAAATCTGTCTGAATGTGTTGAGGTGACTGAGGATCTGTCTCTGGATTTACTGAACTTCATCACTGACAATGTCTGTTCACATATGTAGGGAGATGCAAAAAGGACTGATCTAGTTGATTTACGTGTTTTTCTTTCTAAGTTTAAAAAATGGCCGGGCGGAAGTCACTCGCTGGCCGTATGTGGCCCTCGGGCCGCCAGTTGCCTGCCCCTAAATTAGACAAACTGTAACATTATAAACCAGGAAAACAAAAAATAAAATAAAGGAAACTAAAAGCAAGTACAGCGATCTTTTACTATTGAGTGTATCAAACTTTTAAATGAGGAGAGTGAAATGAATGGGTCCAGTTTTAAGTTTCGTTGCAGATGGTTCCAGATGTGAAATAGTAAAATGTGCATTCATATGAACTGTTCTAGGAAGATTTTTGTTTTAACTGAAAATTACTACTGTTTGAATTTATACTTGAAGTAAAAAGGAGCAGACATAAGATTTTTTTCTTCTCTCTGCTGCCTTTCATTTCATTTAATTGTATTTTCTTTGTTTTTTATTGCTTATAGAATTTAGTTTTTTAAGGAATGAATAAAGTTTGAAAATAAAAATAAAATAAATACCAACAGAACATTATTAGTAAGTAAAGTTTTATTTATAAAACGCCTTTCACAGAAATATATTCAGAAGGTGCTGTACAATCATTAACTGTATAAAAATGGAAAGAATAAAATGAAACAGAAAAACATAATTAAACATAAGCATGAAAAACTGAAACATCAAATCAAGAATTAATTTCTAAAACTGTAAATCAAACACAAGGTCAATGCAGGTCAAAATATACAATAATACACAAAACATAATGAATGCGGGAGAGAAAATATAGTTTAAGTTCAATAATAAAAACACAGATTAGTGAGGCGTTCACTATGGAGTTCAGCTGGCAGTAATGGTGAAATGGTTAGTTAAACGCTTGAGAGAAAAAGTGAGTTTTTAGGAGTGACTTGAAAGAGACAATGTTATCAATGGAGCTCAGATTAACAGGGAGTTCATTCCAGAGCCTGGGGGCCACAGAGGAGAAGGACCGGTCACCACGGGTCTTAAAGTGAGTGAGGGGAACCATGAGGAGGTGTTGATCCTGTGAGCGGAGGTCTCCTCTGGGGTTGTATTAACTGGTTTATGTTTCAAAACTGAAGTAAAAGTTTAGATTTTTCACTCCGAGGTGCAGAAAATTTAACCTAAAGTTGAATCTGGGAGCAAAAACAAGGATCCTGGTAATTCTGATACATTTAAATATAAATTATTGTTAAATTTTGCTGAGTAGTTTGTTTTTAAATAACGGTGCAACAGAAAAGTTCAGTCAAACCAGAGTTTTCTGGATCTGACTCCATCGATTTGAGCTGCAGCTGATGTTCCAGGTTGTGTTTTTGTTTGGTTTTTCCCACACGTTATCAGGCTGCTGGGAAGTTTTCTGCTGAGGCTGATGTCACTTTGACCCCCACCTCCACCTCCCTCCATCATGCCGAGTCAGCAGAATTGTGGGAAACCTCGTTCAGTTTGACAGAAACGCTGCTTTATTAATTTTTTTAGGTGTGTGGCATCAGTCTCCCTCTTCCTCCCAAGAAGCTGATTGGAAACATGGACAGAGAGTTCATAGCAGAGAGGCAGAAAGGACTGCAGGCCTACCTTGACTCCATTACCCAGAATCCCCTCATCTCCACGTCTCTGATTGTCAAGAAGTTCCTCGACCCAAACAGCTACTCTGCCAACTACACGGGTCTGTGCACAACCAAACCACACGGCTTGTTTTAAAAGTTTTAAAGACGACGTAAAAAACCCACAAACTCCAGATTTGCTCTGAAGCTGTTTGTTGTTGTTTGTTTAGAAATCGCCCTGCAGCAGGTCTCCATGTTCTTCAGGTCGGACCCCAAGTGGGAGGTGGTGGAGCCGCTCAAAGACATCGGTAAAACCTTTCCAAAGTTTAAAACAAAAGTCTCGTTTGGTCTGTTGGCACCAACACGTCTCAGCGAAGCTCATTCTAGAAACAAATAATACAGAATAAAAGACTTTTAGCAGGAAAAACACAAAATAGTCAGTTTTATTTAAAATACAAGTCATGGACTTACAGTAGACACAAAGTGACCAGTGTTCAATAAAAATATAAATACAACTCCCAACTCTAAATACAATGTCAGAATAAACAGCTAAAATCAGTTAAAACCATATAAAAACAAAGTAGAAAACATTTAAAAACAAACAATAAAAAATTGTTAAATTTACTTGTGAATAAAAACTGGTGTTAGTTTGTTAGTTTGTTAGTTACGACCTGGCTGGAAGAGCCATAACATATGTGGAAACACAACACAGTTTTACCAGTTTTAAGCCTAAAGAGGCATTTATTTAAATGTCTAGGAGAAAGTGAGTAGCCGTCCGTTGTGTTGCTCCAGGATTTGGAGTCACCGGCAGTTCCTCACCAATCTGTACCACTGAAAGTCTGTGGTTTAGTACCAGTTTCACCGGCTGGTAAAACAAATCTGTGGTCGGGTTGTCTTTGGCCACCGTCGTGCTCCGAACGCTCCACACATCCACCGCACAGCAAAACTCTCCGGTAGCTGAAACGTCGTCCTCAGCACTGTCTTCACTTTCTTTTCTCGCCTTGCGCCAGCTCGACTCTCCACGTCACAGGTGCTGCTACAGAAAAGCTCAGGCGCGCTCCAGACCGCACGCTCTCCACCTCTGCTCTCTCTCGGTCCCGGTCCGCACGCTCTCCTCTCCGGCACGCTCTTAAAGGCCTAGGCCACACCCCCTTCAAGAAGACCTAGTAACAAGCACAATTAGACAGACGGCAGCTGTCTGCAATAAAGAGCAGCAGCAGCAGGGCCGTCACATTTAGTTAATTAGGGGGTGCAACGATACAGAAAATTCACGGTTCGGTTCGATATTTTAGTCTCACGGTTCGATATTTTTTCGATACAAAAAAGAGAAATGTCCATGTCCCTTTTAACTTGTAATTCTATTTATATTAATTATGAACATTTGTTTAACCTCAAAAGTACAGTTTTCAAATTAAATGTTGCTGAAACAACAAGTTTCTCAGTGGATCTGAGCTCAAAAATGCAGCCTAGGTGGAGTAGTCGAACACAGATCCACTGATCCTTCAACACAGAGCATCTTCAGAAGACAAGTTGATAAAATAAATTTTAAAAATCTGTATTGTTTCATACAAAGTGTGTGTTGAACCTAAAGAACTGTTCAATACGGGTACATGTGTTGTTGCAGCCCAGTTAGTTAGTTTATTTCAAACATGTATACAAAAAAAAAAGATAAAAAGTGATAACAAAATTAACATATTTGAAAAGGAATGGGAAGAAGTAAAAACAACGTATTAATCCCACCCTTCTCTGAAGCTTTATTAACAAAATAAAAGTAAATTCTTCTTTTTCCTCATTCGAAGTCACAATTTCATAAAGACTAAAACAACAATCTGTTTACCTACAAATTATATAACAGAATGTAAACATATGTACTTCTACATGCAGTGCATATATACACACATGTACGCACACATACACAGCCCCAAACATCTCCATATATTGCAAAATAAAAAATAATAAAAATTATAATCAGACACACTCAGCATCCCTATATCTTTTGAAAATAATATTTTTATTCATCTTAAATAATTTTTATGTTTGGACATTTCTTCAGTCACAGTTTGACTCCAACAGTCTGAACAATCCTTGATTTAAAGTTAAACTGACTCCTTAAAAAGAACTGCTCTTCAACAAATGCTTTCTGAATATTATCTGAGAACAATTAGTTTTTGCTTTAAATGTTGTTAGTGCTGTTTGTACCTCTGCAACATCTGTAAATTAGATTAGTTTTGACAAAGTTTAATGAATTGGTTTGATCCATACATTCAGCCTTGTGAATTATCCTTATAGCTTTCTTCTGCAGAATGAATAATGGTTGTATAACAGTTTTATAGTTATTGTCCCAAACTACTGCACAGTTATTTAAATATGGAACAACTATGGAGCAGTAAAGTTAAACAGTAAATTTCTGATAAAACTGTTTTTATTATGCAGCATTTTTATCTTAATATTATATAATCTGCATTTGTTTTACTGTCGGAGTCTAAAATCTTGTTTCTTGCAGGTTGGAGGATCAGAAAGAAATATTTTCTGATAAAGAACAAAGAGCAGCCTAAAGAGCGCTACGTCCTGAGCTGGGTGAGTCCGAGCCGGTTCTGAGCAGCCTGAAGCCCGGGCTCAACGCCTGACTCTGTGCTTCTCTCTTCCTGCAGGTGGATCTGGGTCCTGATAAGTTCTTATCTGACAAAGACCTGCAGTCGGCCCTGAAGCTGCTCACCAACCTGTCTGTAGGTTCTGCTCGGCCCGGATCAAAAACACAACATCAGGGTTTTACAGAACGGCTTTTTGTTCAGAAGCTTCAGACGTGGGTTCAGATCTGCAGCTCTGCGTGTCAGGACGTCAGACCCTCTTTGCTCTGAAGGAGTCGGACCTCAGTAGATCCTGGCAGGTCCAGCGCACGTCGTTTCTTAGAGCGGACGTCGCTAACAGAGCGTTTTAAAAGTAGCGCCCACCACTGTTTGAGCAATGAAGTAAACGGCTCTAATAAAGCTCGTTAGCGTTCAGAAAGAAAGTTTCATATAAACCGAGGCAGCGCTGCTACCCCACCTCCTCTCCAGAACATTAACCCCTTAGAGCCCAAACCAGCAGGATGCTCTACAAACCAGCAAAACATTGGAGAAGTTTTTCTTTTTCTAACAAAACTAATAATTTACAAGAGTTCTTCTATATAAAAACAATTATTAGTACAAATAGGATGGGATTTGATGATTTAATAGTTATTTTCTTTTAAAAATATTAGTTAAAAAC